GATGATTTTAACCCTCTCTGATATATTGGGACGATAAGTGATTTTGACCAGCCAGATGGGATAACGTCTAACTGCCAGATCTTAGCTAAAATATTAGTCAACCTAATCGCCAAAATTGGACCACTATCCTTAAAGACTTCTGGAGTCAATCCATCTGGACCAGCTGCCCTTCCTCGTTTCAGATTAACTATAGCCTTTTGAACTTCAACTAGAGTTGGGGGACCTACTTCAATGTTCCATTCACACTGTCTGGGAATGGAGGGTAGTTGTACAGTAGCTGAAGGCCAGCTGAACTTTTCTCTGAAATGTCCCGCCCATCGTTCTATACGTCTGGACTGAGAGCAGATGAGGGTGTCGTCTTTTTCCGAAATAGTCTGACTTACACTTGACTTATTAATTCCAGTTTCTTTTATTAGCCTGTAGAGCTGTCTTGTGTTCCCTATAGCCACCGCCTTTTCCATCTCTTTTGGTTTTGTTGCCCACCACTGCTCATGGTCGTTCCTTAGACTTTTGCCTAACCTAGATCTGATTTGTTGTCGCTCTTCATCGTGTTCAGAGCCTGATGGGACGAGTTTACGAGAATCCATTAGTACAATAGACCTTGAGGAAACCCATTGGTTCTTTGTAACCCTGTGGTTTAAATCACTGATAGATGTCACTGCTGTTTCCACAGCTGTTTGTATAGCTTTCCAAGCAACATCTAGGTCAGTCTCGTTTTCAGAACTACCTCAGTTGTTCCTGGAACCTACTTTTGGTTTTCTCGCTACTCAATTCAGTTCTAATTGGTCTTTTTAATGTGGCTTTTTTGCGTCCAGTGAGGCGCAAGCAGATGCCTGCCCGTATTAGGGCGTGGTCGGAGTCCAAGCAGGTACACCAGAATGAGCGACAATCTTCTACCGACCCTCTCCAACGATGACTGATGGCAATATGGTCTATTTGAGTCCATCATTGGTTTGGTGTAGGGGGTCGCCATGTTAGACGATGTCTCTCCTTATGCTTAAAATTTATGTTTGCTAAAAACAAACGATTGTCTGAGCACAGTTGCAGCAGACGATCACCATTATCTGTTCGTTGTGCTGGAATACTAAAATACCCACCTAAATGCCTTTCTATTTGGTTTAAACCACCTATCTGGGCATTAAAGTCACCTGCTACGAGTACTATGTTTGAATGTTTAGCTTTCTGAAGAAGTTCAGATAGCTTTCTATAAAATTCATCTGAGCTGCAGTCGGTGGGAGCGTAGGCAGAAACGACAAAAAGGCAACGACGTGTGTCCCTATCCTTCCGGGTTCTTACGGAGCCGTTTAGCCGAACAGCACATAAACGACTGTTAACGGGGATCCACTCTAACAGTGTTTGTTCCACCCTCCTGATTAGTGCTATCCCTACTCCTGCCAGTACACGAGAGCTGGCCGTCGGGTCACCAGATACACGGAGGGTGTATCTCGTTGGCTCTCCGTTTTGCCGAGGTGAGGTCAAGTGAATGACCACAGTGGGATGCCAACCACTGACTGCCTCGACGTGCGACGTTCAATGGTATAGGAGTAAGTTGGAAGCTAGGTGTGGCCAGACCAAAACACGACACAAGTCCATAAAGTCACTGACAAGTGGACTGAGCCATGTTGGTAGATGTAAACTACCTGGATGTGGACCCGGAGATGATAGCAACCGATGGTTAGAGACTCTGAATGACATGGCTCAAAATCGTTTGCAATGGCGCAGGTGCATCCACTCTTTGTGTTCTCCCAAATTCTAATCTCCTGAATCCCCCTTGTCTCTTTCTTCCCTTTCAAAATTTATTTCACTGGACTACACTCCTTGAATAACATCTTCAAACTCTAATCTTTCCGATTACTGCTTATACATTTACCGCCTCTACCACTACGGGATTTGAATCGACAACTGGATCTCTGTGATAATGTGGTGTGGCGACTCGAACTGATGTACGTGTGTACAAAGTTCTATGTTGTTACGGACCGACTGTAATAACGTACATATCGTTTTAATTGTTTAGTCAATTAATAAATTTTCATTGATTGAGCTAATAGTTAATCAATAATTTTGTGTGTATAAAATTCGCTAGATCGATAAATCAACTAAATTGATTAAGAAATATAATTATTCACTGAGTTCTGTATAACTTTTTCTTTCTAACAAGTACCGTTCGTACCTCATCCTTTTCATCTTAAATATTTGTCGCCTTTCGCTTGTGTCCAATTAATTTATTAAACAATTTGGTTGGCTTGAAAGCCAAATGATTTTTGAGATAAAGCAAGATAAAAGATTGTAAGTTCCCGTCAGCTCACAGATTTCTTCTCAAGCAACCTATTCGACCTCGTTTTCAGGATTTGCAGAATCGGTATACTGAACAAGTTATACTTGTGTACTGGTTGCTGCGATCCAGGATAAATGGTTTTCAGTTTCCAATAAACTCATAAATGTATTTTTTGTCAATAAATCTGAAGATGTTGAGATGTTTTCACATACTCTATGCGACCCCTTATGTTTAAGACTCATCAAAATATTTGAGACGAGTACTTACAGTTAGCTATAGATAGTAATCTATGTGGAGGTAATATATATATATATATATATATATATATATATATATATATATATATATATATATCTTAGTTTCTAAATACATTTCACGACAGTCCTATGCATTTAAATCACTAATCTTTAGATGTTCGGCATAATCGACACCAAATTTAAAATTAATCCATACTATCAAATTAATATTTATTCGGTTGAAAAGCCTTGCAAAATTACCATCCCATAGTATTTCACATGACGCTGTAAGTTCCAAAGTTAATAAATATTGAAGCCATACAAAACAGGATTAAATATGATAGAGAAATGGTGTCTAAATTTACCATAATAAACATAAATGAAATAACTGATGCAATACGTAGCCAATAATTAGTACTATGATATAAATCTTCAAGGCTTTTAAATGTTGAAAATAGTTCAATATGCCACACAGTAATATTCGTTGTATGCTACTTTATGCACTAATTTGTTTTGACACAGTTAACTGAGAGAACCAAAAATATGGCCAAGAAAAATTATCTATCAATATAAACAATCTTTGAAAACACGCGAAACGAAAAATGAGTTTTTGGTTTCAATAAGCGGTGAAGGTAACGTCAAAAGCTTGTCAGACGATCATGTTTTGGAACAACGCTTTTGAAAGATGGCTTAACATAACAAATTGAATGCGCTGTAAAATGATACCGTATTTCGCTACTGTATTGCTCAACATCATAATGAATTAAATCAAAGTAAAAAGAGGACAGAAATGAACTAGAAGGAAATTAGTCGATTGGGAACAGGCAAATGTAGAAAAATAAAGTAAAAATTATTAAGAGACATATGAAACGATGTTATCAAGTGTTGTGAAACGTAATAATATATTCCTAATGAGATATCCATCGTACATTAGAGACTATGTTTTACAAACGTATATAAAAAGATAGTCCATATATAATTGCTATATTTCGCTTATGATTAATGTGTCTTTGTTATAAGTGTACAGTTTATTCACAGTGACTGGATCAAAAACACATTGAGATAAATATTCCATTAACTGTGTAATGTCTAGCATGAATGTTATCCATCAAGTTACGTGAATTCAAATATCCGGATGAGGTGTTTATTACTTGGCAAACAGCAGATGTGCAACAAGATAAATTGAGTGAACGAAACAACTTTAAAGATTATTGGCGATTCGAAGTGTAGACTATATGTAAAATACCAGTATAATTTATCACTAAGGTCTGCACAATATTTGATGAAGAGAAATCAATAGAACATTATATAGATCAAATCTTTAGGAGTCATGGTGTTGTAATACATGAAAGATCTGTCAAAAGTAACAAACAAATGTTGGGAAGGTGGTTTAGTAGTTAGAGCGCTTGATTTCTAGTCATTACGGTTGGACACTTAATTATCATGATAAAATTCATTATGAACTTAAATATTGATTAAAATATCAAAATATGCTATTTAATGTTTATACCACTTAGTAATTAATAGACTTAATGACATACGTTTAAAATAATAACCAGCAACTGAGAGAAAGTCAATTCTTACAACCAGGTAAGGTAAAACCATAAAACCATACAAATTCACTGAGATTACAACTTCAAAACTAAAAATCATTTAACTGGTTGAACTATCCACGTACAAAAATACAGTTTGTTTTGTTATTATAAAAGGAGTAGTATTATATAGTCTAATGAAAAACCAAATCTATGGATTCGACTGTACAAGATAACGTCAGCCGACAAACCATGTAGTTGCCCAAATCTGGAAGTAATTCCTTCGATTCGTTGGTAAGAACTAAGAGAAAAAGAATTCAAATGTTTTCTATACTTCCCGAATTAGCAGTCAAACGACAACAAATACAGTTTCACCAGTAGAGATGTAGTCTGTAGACGTAACAGAAGAATGATTTCCATAAAAACAGGAGTATATACTAAATAGGTCAAGGCTACCAATATTTCGTCAACGTTAGCAAAGAAGGATCTCACAACATTTAATGGAAGAGGTGATATGGCAAACAATGAATTAATCAATTGGAGTGCAGATGAAATATATTTTTTCCCATTATTCTGTGACATGTAATCATGTTTTGAGAAGGGATGCTTAATTGTATGATGTTGGCAATATATGCTCACACAGTAGGTTATTAATTAAGTGGTGTTAAATATTCCTCATTTGAAAACATACAAACATGACTAAGTGAATCGTATAGAAAGTGGCGTACTCATTTATCATTTCGATTTATTTTGGGAGTCAAGTAAATCCTTATTACCAGTCTTTGCTTTTCACCACGCATATTTGAGTTTGAGGTCTCAGTACAAAGCACTAACCAGTTAAGCGTTCCGGAGTCATATAAGTGTCAGACATAACATAACAGATTATCTCCAACTATCTAATACATACAAAACATGCGCGTATCATAAAGATGAGTCTCCTATTCCTTTGCTTTACAGATTTATGAAAAAGCACCTACAAGCAGAAAGTCCAGATCCTTCAGATGTCGAAGCAATGAAAGTAGAAATTTCAGAATTAAAACAAAAGGTGGAGATGTTAGAAAGTGAAAATGCTGAATTAAAACAAAGCATAAATCAACAATTAACACCAGGAATTGGAATAAGTGATGGCAATATTTAATGAATTGATGTTTAACAAAAAAAAACTCCAAACTGGTAATATTCTAACATAAAATGAATTTTAAGTTTTTTAACTGCAAATGAATGTTAAATTGATAATGTTTTAAGCGTAAATATTGTTGAGTGTCGGATGAATGTAGGCAACAGTCAAGAAACCGAAAACAAGTGTTTCTCTCCTGCTGATACTAAAAATATATCTATAAGATAAATAAAACATATTTGTCACCGGCGTTATTTGATTTCTCACATTAAATCTAGAATAATATAATAGTTGTTCATCTGGTGTAATTATTTTACAAGATAAATAAGTTTTAGTTAGTGGCTAAGTAGGTAGATGACTAGCAAATGAATGCAACATGATCAATGATCAGTTCCGATAAATTCAAAGTTTATCAGCCAACATCTTTTGTCGGTGATTGTTGGACAAACGAAACGTATGTCACAACCTTCTTGGTCAATGACTTTTACAACCTCGGTAACTAATTTACTATGTTCGCCTGCTACCCCAAGTTTAATATTAACACTACTCACTCATAAATTTCGACACAACCACTTTTATTTATGAGATAATGAATATTTTCCATTTATCGACAAGTGTGAAACTGGTAAATAAACAATTTGAATGGTTCCCAACACGAATCGACATTAATTGTGGTAATACTGGAAAACAAGAGAGCATTAATCACTAGTTTTAAGTGATCATCGTCGTAATCAAATGAGTGGTAGGAAATAATAATATTCTGGATTGACTGCTTATATGCAAGTTTCTAACTATTTAGAGAAAAAGATAAGACTTGAAGCAAAATGAGGCAGTCGTTCGAGTCTGATACTAACATACACGCTTCCTATACACTACTTGAGTGAGAAAGCCAAGAATGAGCAGAAAACTTTTATCGGCTGACCCGAATTACGATTTATGCACAAAGTTATTCATTAATATAGATATGAAACTCAGAAAGATAAGCTAGGTTTTCAACTTATAGTGTATACTTATCTCACTCGGATCACTATGCCAAATCTTGACCAATAACATACACAAGTGAAAATCTCTGACTAATAAGTTAGCTTTGAATTTACATGTCTGATTGGCACACCCTATCACTTTGTTCTTTAACGTCTGTTGTTCACGAAAACAGCGCCAGATTTGAAAGTACTTATGCAATTAGGGATGACCAGTGAGCCCCCTGGACGGAAAAACCAGGAAAGGGACGGATATATACAATTAAAACAATTTACTATTCTTTTTGTAGCAATAAATTGTAATTTAAATATCATTATAAATGACCTGAATTAAACTGCACAGGAGAATATCATCATCATTGTCACGGGATTATAAAACTATGATAAAAGATAAGAAAAAATATGTTCTAGAAAACCTTTAGCAATTTCGTATTACAGTAAATCTTTGGATAAATGGTATATTGTGATCACAATGAATCAAGTATAACACACTATCTATTTTGATAAGATCAAATAAAGAGGGAACAAAAATTAAAGTCTATTGTGTTTATTTTAGAAAAGGTGGATTAATGCGTGTGTACACTGTTTATTTGTTTTAATTTACGTGATTTATCGCGAATAGACGTGTGTTAAGATTTAACAAAAGGTTAAAATAAGTAGGTAGTTAAATTTACTTTTGTTGTGACAACATCTGAAAGTGTTTTGAATAAAAATTCATAACCACAACCAATATACTTTTATATGGTTAAATTATGTAACATGTTAAACTCTAAAATCGAAGTGACTAAAAATTAAACAATTCAATAAAATCTGAACAAAATTAATGATAATTAGTTGTAACACCAATAAAATTGATTTTAACTGGATGATTAGCGAGTGCTTTTGAAGAGGAAGAAAGTAATAAAAGAGGAGAATTATGAAACTTAATTGTTACACATATTATAATTTAAATAGATGCTCATACTATCGGTGAAAAATACGGAGAAGATTTTGGGTTGACTAAATGTCCACAGATAAGGGAATGAATGAAATAGTCACAAGTAACCATTTCAATAGGTAATGTTTTCATAAACGCGAACGCAGACTGATTGATCTGGAAAAAAATTTATGATGAATAATATGTGAAAAATAAGAAATGAACTTTTAAGTAGAGGTGAATGGTAGCTAGCAGTGGAATGCGGAGTGCGCGTTTCGTTCTAGAATGACCCGGTAGTTAAGTGTATAACGCGATAACATTCAGAGTAACGGTACTGGGTCCGAGTCTCGTGATCAAAAGTCAACTCCGGGAAGAAGATACATCTGACTGACGAGTCACAAATATGGCGGAATGCGCATCCTAGGATCCAATGCTAGCTAGCATTTTGTCTCCTTAACCTATTGGCAACATCGAGGGAATCCGCACAGGATGGACATATGACAAAAAAACTGGTCAACTGCAATCCTAAACATTGATGGAAAGATTCGAACCACCAATACACATAAAATAAGAAATGAGCGTTTTGTGATCAATAAATTCCCAATTGTCTTCAAATTGCGAGAAAGTATTGCGGTGTATGCTACTTATGTCGACTTAAGTAGTATATAATACCACACAAAAGTAGAATGCCTGACAGAAGAGGATCAGAAAGATCGAATCGAAGAGAACGGGAACAGTAAGTAATTGTAATTGTAATGAAGAAACGATGAAGTTTGAGGCAATTTATAGAGGATTTGCAAATGAATTATAGAATGCATGGTTCCCATATTTTACGAAAGAATTTTGTGTTAAACAATAAATTGGTTGTCCCCATATAGGTTCTCGTTCATCACAGTATGACATTCGAACTTATGAATGAAATTTTTGGAAAGGCCAAACAACGGTTGTTTGTACGAAAAGATAATCTGCAGTTGACGAAAATGGAACGATTCTTTTAGAAGAACCAATTTAGCACTATGTTGATTTAGCGAACACAAACAATCAACTAAAGACTGATAGTAGGTAGTTGTTAAAAACCTCCTGAAGTTTAAATCCCATTACTTCGGCGGCCAAAATAACTTCTAAAAAGACAGTTATTCGTATGTAAGTTCTGCTGTCAGTGTTACAACCATGGTGTGAAAGTCACTCATCTTCCCAATTTATAATCGGCATCCGGAAATTTATTTAGATGCATTATGCACCTGCTATGTAAAAGCATTAGAATGGTATCCGTTTGTACTGTTTATATTTGGGAGTACCAAAGTAATCTCTAGATTATCTAAGAATACCTGAAGAAGGCTCAAAATATTACATAACTTTACTTGTAGTGATGGTTATTGAAAAAAATCAATGCAACTACTTACTTAAAGCGAACCATTCGTGTAATGTGTGAAATTCTAGTATACATTTTACGCTATTGTCTTATGTTTCGATGACAAACAAAAAAAACATCGCACTAGTTTAAGTATTTACCAAAAAATATGGAGGACTAGTTGTTAAAGAAACCAGTTTTTAACCAGTAGGTCACCTCAGATGTGGATCCCACTAAACGTACTTCAGTTTAATCAGTTATATAGGATTACTAGTTCTCAAGTGAAGCGTGACTCAAAGGTGAATATACAAATTTGTTTTTAGTAAGTGAAATACATCGTGATTTATCAAGATTATTACTAGTTAAAGCATTCGAGCAGTTATATATTTTACTGAAATATATATACCAAATAAAAATAGTGAGGAGAACAAAGTTGAGAAAATGTTATCAAAAAAATTTATTTTCTGAACTTACATGGTTCTTGTCTACTAGGACAAAATTCACTTTTTTCTCACTTGCTTTAGATCTACACCTTACAGATGGAAATAAATCAGATAGTTTTTGAGATATTTCAGATAAATGTATTAAAGGAATTCGATTAGATGAATTACCCAACTCATCAAATCCATTATTGGAACCACAAGCTAGAGATAAAATATTCAACCAACCAGGTCCAAACACCTTAAGATCATTAGTTACTATAGCTACTAAACGATAATTAGTTCCACAGTCCGCCCAATCTCCAAGATGGTCAAACAATGATGGCGAAGGAATTGTTTGATAAGCTGGTGAACGATATCGTACAGGCACAGACCACCTGAAATGTATGAAGAAATATAATGAAAGTTGGAAGGGAAACACAAGAGTGTTCCCCTGAGTTAAAATAAAAGTATCACTACAACTGAGTGAGATGGATATGGTTATTTACTTAAACATAATCTTTCTCACTGAACAAAGTTGTCAACTTAATACATATACATATAAAAAAACCAACGAAAGGCATATGAACAAGGCGAATAGATAATGTTGTGATACCCTTCCCAAAACTTGAGTAGCTAAAGTATGGTAAACACACGTTACACACTGATTGAAAGAATAATCACTAACTTAATAAACTAGATTTACCAATCTCATGATAGATATTATTCTGTTTTCAAAATTACAAGTGATTTTTTTTTAGGTGAAACGTCACATAAATGTAAATTACTTCGAATTTACTTTAACAAGAAAAATAGAAAAGGGAAGTTACCTCTTGCATACCAAAAACAAACGTAGTTTATAAGAGCTAAGTAACTAAAATTTAGACCAAATTACTGAAGAATAAGCATAAGACATTGTATAGCAATGCTGAAATTTCACTGTGTAAATTTAAACCGCTGACATGTGCCATGTACTCGGTTTTTGTTGGGTAGATGACATAAACTAGTATTTGTGTCAAGAAACAAAAGGATCATCAAAAAACAATTCCTGGATTGAAGTTGTCAGGGCTCTCTCTAACGTAGGTGAATCAGTAAGTTTTTATTACAAAATCTACTGCATATCGTATTTAAAAATCAATGTTACGTGGAAGTTAGCTTACCAACTAACTGGTTCAGAAGATCCTGATATAAATCCCCGAGGTAATTCATAACGACCAGGATATGTACGTAACAAATATAAAGGCCAATTACGAGTTTCTTCAAAAGACGATTGATTGTTGTATGCTTTAGCATCTTCACGACATGAATCCAACAACCAGTCAATACGTAGTAATGGAACACTGCCTAACGTAGCAAGTGCTTGGAAATATTTTAATGTGCGACAACAATCTGTTGAAACTAAAGCTACAAAATGTGCACATTGACTTTTCTTTTGATGGAAACTATCATCTAGTTCAGGACTTTCCCAACCATATCTTCTATTCAATAAAGATGGATTGATTTCTAAAGCAACTTCTCCACCACACGCAATAATCAATTGTTCTAAAAGATTACGATCTATGGATTCATTTGAATTGTAGTCT